AAAACGATTCTGAGCGGAGTTCAGTTGATAGTGTTGCTTTGTCATATTATGGTAAATAATTACAACGATACGCGTTTCCATGACAACCTTATTTTTAATCTTTCAATATTTTTGAACCTAAAGAATCAGGTTTTCCTCATTATCTTAAATATTAATGAGCATTTCAAAAAAAAACCTCTTTAAAGTACCACCCAAAGAACATTAACTTTCAGAAAAGGCGCTATACTTGATAATCGGTGTAAACTTATAAAAAAAAAAAAAAAACATCATTGTGAAACCAATACATTCCTTGCACCACTCAGAATCTAAGACGTATATTTTTAAAATCCGTGGACTGCAGAAACATTTCTACAACCCCCGATCAGTATTTCGGTTATAACGGACGTAGGAAGTCAAAACAAATTTTGATATATGTCAAATAAATGACAAAACCCAAAATCCAAAAACAGTGTAACGTACGTTGAAATATGTTAAAATTCGCTTTCATAGAGATTTAATAATTTTCCGGATCATACGGTATTGTGTGTTGTGTACTCGTAAAATTTGATAAAAAGCATGATAATCATTAGCATGATTATTATAAGAGCATATCCTTCAAAACGTTTTCAGAATTTGCTGTTGTTTTGTTAATGTATCGATTTCAAATTTCAAAAAAGTCAACTTTTGTATAAATTATATAACTGCATACGTCATTTCTTATCAATAGGTACAACAGTTGTGTTCCTTAATTTTCGACATAGACGCAATTATAGCGATCATCATATACGTTACGGGGTAAAACCATTTATCGACACAAAGTTCGTAAAACGCATGCGCTGAAATTCTTTCAATAATTGTTGCACTATCTTTTATCATATTGATAATAATCGAGTAATTAAAAATAGAGGATTGGTGCGAACATCGCCGGTAAAAACACGGACGATTTAAACGAATTAAAACAATACCATGCGATATTACGACACTGTTAAATTAACGATTATTAGTAAACTGTAAGTAGTGATTTTCAGATTTAATATTATTTAACATAATTTATTGTTTTTTAGATTCTGAGTGGAGCGAAGAAGCTTAAAGTTTTACAAAGATTTTTTTTTTTATCTGTCAAACAAATTTTCTACCAGAAGACTTGCTCAGATTTTAAAGCGTAGCGCGTTTTTTGAAAGGAAATTGGTATGAAGAGGTTCTTTAGTGAGGTCATTTTTCGATTTTTCTAACAATTTTCCTAACAAATGTGAAAAACCAGGATAAAACATGGAAAAACCGGGAAAAACGTGGGAATACTGGGAAAATCGGTATAATATTAAACAAATATTATTAAAGAAAATGTGCACAGCCTATTTAATTATTTTACTATAAAATGACATTTATTTTCGATGAAGCATCATTATCAACTGAACCCCACTCAGAATCGGTTTTTCGTAAGTAATCGTTTGTCTTTACTTACAGATATACATTAAATTATTTATAACACTGTGACTGCACTGTCCCCATTATCCTAGGACGTCTTTTTTTTTCTTTTTCTTTGATGCGCACTAACCATGCAATCGCGTCACAAAGTTTCGAAACTGCGCGTTTAATAAATTTGTCAATTGTCATGCTAACATGTAGTATACGTCCTGTACAAATAGCGTTTTCTTAAAAAAGTTTTAAATTAAGAATGAAATAATAAAATATTTGTTTTTTTTTTTTTTTTTTAATAGTTATTATTATATTCGAAGTTAGTAACCTTCGAATATAATAATATGTAAATAACTATTTATGTAATCGCACGCCGAGTTCTAAATACACCTGATGTGTTCATAATAATATCGTTAAGTGCTAATTAAATAGAATTCCGTGTCATTTTCGTAGATTATAATATTGCGTTTTATTTATTTACCTATTTGTATACCTACGGTTAACTCTAGCGTTATTAAAAGAGTAACATGACGGTTATTATCATGCGATGCAATTATTCATAATGATGCATAATGTACCAGGATTATGTTACCTATATGTACCGACATTGTACACAATACGCAGTTTATCATTTCGTGTAAATATTGATTTTTCGAAGATGGTATACCTATACGTACGATTATTAGACGAATGCGTCTATCGCACACGGTAACACGTTTTTTAAATATCAAAATTATCACGAAAAAAAAATAAAATAAAAAATGGTACGTAATAGTAATAGTAATTAATAAATTAGATACAATAGCTTCTGGTGTGGCATTTGCAATTATACGCACGCGAGAAAAAAAAAATTGTATTACCTATAGGTACGTTTAGCGTACGGGTTATTAATTCAATATCATTCAGAATTTGTTTTGATTATGCCGGCATTGAACACGCACGCGTAATGTTATTAAGTATCAACAATCACGGTCTTGTGGCACCGTGGCAACAACGTTAAGAAGTGGTGGCCTCGGATTAAATGGTTACCGTGCGGTTTCGACCAAGACCAATAACGTTAAATCGCAGCGTTAGCGATCTAGACGTTCTAGTGCAGTTCTTAACCTCGTCGTAGTTATTATCCGTAATTGATTACGGGAATACGGAACAATATCGTGAGACGATAATCGGAGTGTTCCGATTGACTGTACCCTGCGGGTGCAAGGGGTCGGTCACTCTCGCGCCACCGGTCTTGATCCGTATCCCTCTTGGCCCGTTTCCGGATCGACCGCCCCTCCCAGTTCACCTCGTGCGCTCCGTCCGTCGGGCGTATTACAAGTCTGTATACTCGCATGCATCTGTGGCGGTGCGCCGCCAGTCCCGCCATTCGTCGATTTCGCCGATAACGAGACGGCGCCTCCTCGGTTTCTGCGCCGTTCGCGTTTTCCACGGGACGTCCGGAAATGTTTTACTCGTTGACCGACGACTGCCGTCTCACGCGGTGCACGTTTCGACCCGTTCGGTTCGTCCGCGCGCGTAAACTCGTAACGGCCATAAAACCGTTGTTTTACGTTATTGTTCATTGTCACAACGATAATCCCGATAACAGTCGAATCCGGAAACGTAATCTTCGCCGTACAAAATTAACGACGCGGCCCGACAAACAATAACATTGTCGACGAACAATTAGCGTTCGCTGTCCGCCGGAACAACGGCGGGGTTGCCCGTCCGCCCGTCCGGCGTGCTATTATCGAATCGTCCCGACGTGACGCGATCGTGGTTATTATTACAGCGTCCGCACACGGTTCCGCTAAAAATAACGATGTCGATTTATCATAGCGGCCGCCCGGCCGTTGTGATACGCGGCTAGGCGCACACCGCGATCGTCTTTGGACAATTACGCAAACACAATAATACGCGCGCACGGTCCCCGGGCCCTGTGACAATGTTACAATAATCATTGTTGCGGTCGCGCGGGTGCTCTGTGTGCGGCCGCGCCGTTATTTATCGTTTATTATTTCGCGAGCTCGTTGCGCCGATAGTATTCAGAACGGTCACGCCGGAACGATAATAAACATTGCGATATTAACTCGACGACGGCGCTACGGAGTGGGGCGGGCCGTTGTTTGGCGTCGGTCGATTTCAACGGGATTTTTCGCATTGAAAGGCCGCGGTATTTATCGGCGACTAGCGAACACCCGCCCCCGCCCCCCCCCCTCGCGTGTGAATTCGAAAAACATTGTCCCGGGTCTCAGTATTGCTTGATATTATAGAATATTAACTATGGGACATTTGAAGCGGGCGATAGCGAACGGGCTGATTGCAAAAAAGGTAAACATTTTTATTTTTATTTTTTTTTTTATTAATTTTATTTATTATATTTTCTGTATTATGTATGTTACAGGTGCATAGAGTAATGCGATTCGAACCAATCACCACGGTTGAAAAAATATATTGATTTGAATACCGAGATGAGGAAGAAGGCAGCTAATGATTTTGAAAAAGATTTCTACAAACCGATGAACAATGCGGTATTTGGTAAATTATTATTATTATTATAAAAAACTCGTCTGTTATTATATTATTATGATTTTCTAGATAAGACAATGGAATCTATGAGGATTACTATAGAGTTGGTGTCTAATGAACAAAGAGTGTAAAAATTAATTAACAGGCCAACGTTCAAACACTGCACGACTTACAACAAAAATCTATGTGCTATATCACCGGAGAACAAAATAATACATTTCTGCAAGCCTATCTATATTGGATTTGCCGTATTGGACATCTCAAAAACAAAAATGTATGACTACCACTATAACGTCATGAGCAACTATTTCAAAGACACCATCAGCTTGATGTGCACCGGGTACATACGGGTAAATTATTATTATTTTTTTTTTTCTTATACGTATTATATTGTTTTTATTATTATTGTTTTTCAGATTTGTTGGTGTATCATATCAAGACTAAAGATTTTTACTTAGACCTGCTGAGTAAACCTGGGCTTTTGGAGTGTACAGACGCGGCCAACCTACCGAAAAACCACCCGTGCTACGTCACAGAGAAGAAGAAGGTACCTGGTCTTTTCTCAGACGAGACGGATGGGAAGACAATAACCGAGTTTTGTGCGCTGCTGTCGTGAAAAATCACATGACGATTAATGGCCACAAGAAGTGTCTGTTTGGTGATGGAGACCTGGACGTACATAGGGAGAATGTTTCCATTTGGTCGTCCTCCACCAACTTAAAACTATATCCACAAACATGTTGACCTACAATAACTATGAGGATAACTATGAGAGACAAGATCCATACAATGGCATATGGACACCGCCAACTACTTCAAGACAGCGAATAAGAATGTACCTAATTGTAAAAATTGTATAAATATAAATATTATATACCTGTATGGCAATTGTATATTATACTTGTAAAATAAAAAAAAAAAAATTTGATTTGGTGTATAAAATTGTATATATTTTCATATAAAACACCATCTTTATATAAAATGAATAATGTTTTACAAATAAGTAAAAAGAAAAAAAACTGTATAAAAAATACATAACATACTCTGTGTAAAATAAAAATAAAATACTACTACTATGGATTTAATGTATACAATTTATTTTTTTTTTTTTATTAGATATTAATGTCACCATACCTCGCATCCGAAATCGCGGACTCCAAAATAATTTCTTCTATTTGTTATAAATTATAAATTTGGATGATACCTAAACCCTCTAGAACGTTCCATGTATCCCTAAAATCATATGACGGCTTTACTTTATGAATCTCTTCTAAATCGTATGATTTTAACCTTATATCTGTGGCTACATATATTACTTAGAATTTGAAAAATTAAATTATCCCAAAATATCCTGCAAACGCTCATAGTTATATGTAATAAACATTTTTTTCTCCAGTTTTTCATTCCAAAATGCATATCCGTCACATTATATTTTATAATTTGACTCATATACACCCCTTAAAACTAACTCTATATCTAAACTTGAATATTTGATGAGATCATCTGTTAACCATTGAATATTTGAGTTATTAAATTTCCTTTTGATATGATAACTCCATTTCTTATAACCTTTCCTTGTGACATGAAATTTCCCGCAAAAGTCCCCCTTTTTGAAATTACTTTTCTCACATAGAGCATCAATGTTACACTGTATGGCAGAAGAATAACGACTCAAGTAGGATATCATCCTGTAGCTTATAATATCTTGTATTGGGCGGTTAAAAATCATTTCAATTGCTTCTACAACTAAAGTATTTATAAGTACAATAAATTAGTGTTTTCAGAAAAAAATTGAAAAAAATATTTCATATAGAATTCGTGCAAGTCTTGATGATATTGGGTAGGATAGTTTTACAAAAAAATTATTATCTTTATAATATGTTGATTCGAGTTTCAAATTAAATTTAATAGGATTGTTTCGAAAAGGGATTTCGTCAATCCGTTAAAATTGTCCTTCGTCTAGTGTTTCGTATAATTATGATTGATACGATAGTAAAGTCGTATGATCGACAACGCGTAGATGGGCGGGGGAAAGGACGCGAGCTCGCGCGCGCGACCGCGAAATAAAGTCGTATAGACAGTCAGCAGCCGCAGGTAGATGGGCGCGGGAGAGGTGGTCATTGGGATTGCCAGGTATGCGCGGGTCCGTTGTCGCCGTCGTCGTGACGGTATACGGGTACAGTGCGGGATGGTTTAGGTCGTACGACGGGTACGGTAACAAGCACGAAGACACAGTTATATAACAACAACCTTTGTGCCTTTGTACTTACGTTCCGAGTGAAACGATATCGGCTGGCCGGCGGTCGCCCAATAGACGGGCGGGGAAACATTAGCTTTTGCGTGAATGTACAGACGTCGCGCTGATGACCGTTCCGTTTTTGTAATAATTGTACGCAATAATATTCCGTTGTACGGGTAATAATATCTAGCAGCGGGTACGGACAGAGTGTCGGCGGGCTATGGCGAGCGCGGGATCGTTAATAATGGTTGCTAGTGGTGTGTTATGCAATAACGCATACTGACGTGTTCACAGAGCATATTACGTACGGAATGTAATGTAAAAATATTATTTGGAAAAACAATAATTTATTCGAATACATTCTCTCAAGATTTATTTATTCGGTGGGATGGATTGCGGGTTGGGTAACGGCCATGTATTAGGTATAGCACCTGGGCTCCTGGGCCCCCTTGCTCTTGCTCCTGCTCCCGTGCATGGGGCAGAATCCCCTATTTTATACTGCTTACAATATTACAAAGTTCAAAAACACCCGCGCTGACATCCTCTTAAATATTATTGTCCCTAAAAAATAGAAAAAATGTTTACGTCGGATAATTGTTTTATAACTCTGTTAGGAATAAATTTTATTCAGTATTCAGAATACTAACTATATTTCATCTTTTTAGAGGAGGGTTAGAAAAATTTTTAATTTCCTTCTTTTTTTTTTTTTCTATCATATCATGCAAATGTTTAATTTGTTTGAAATCGTAGGTTGCTTTTTGCAAATCAAAAGTCGATAATAATATACATTTCATTTTTATGGCGTTCAGAATAAGGATAAAATCGTGAATTTATAGTGAATAAAATTATTAAACGATTCTAACAATCGGGAAAACTAAAACAAATTTTATTCAAAAATCTGAGTATATTGTTGGTCCATGATGAAAAAAACCATCCTGTATAATAAACCGTTAAACCTTACTCTCAACTATATGCATAACTCATAAGTAGTCCTTTATACGCCTAATCCTGATAATATTTTTTGTTGCTAGACGGTAACTCGTGATGTTTTATAACATTATTTTTCCGTTTCGACGGCGTTTTCGAAATGATCTCCTTGTACACATCATTATAATGTAATCCGCTTAAAACACCTTTTTCCTTCTTCAAAGTTATCAAACGATTATTTTACGAAAAACATGAAAATTCTATACAATAATTCTGGAAATGTACACGCTCAGACTACAGTTCATTACTATTACTATAAGTATTATTGTTATTATTATTGCGGTAATATGTTTTGGACAAACTATTTAAATAAATACATTCTTTGGAATATTATTTAAAATTAAAATAAATGACATTTTAAAATTTTACGATTTTTGTCAGTGTGTTTTTAAAAAATGTATAAAAAAAACATTATGATCAACTTTCTGTTTAGTATGAATTTTGATGAACCTCATGTTAAACAATTATAATTAGTTCAAAAGTCTTTAAAATTGTTGACAATTTTACCATGTCTAGAAAAGACTATTATAATTAATTAATATTCTGTTAAAATTTTAAGTGTCTACGATTATGTTTCATCTATTTCAGTAAAAAAACAAAATAAATCTAAAATAATGAAACGGATATTGCCGTAAACTTGCATATTTTTCTTACATTTTTCTCAATTATTTAGAAAACAACTAAGAGAATCACAAAAATTGACCTCATCAATACTATAATTAAATTTCAAATACAAAATAGTCCTCTTATCGTTTTCCGATTGGAGCAAGATTTCTTGTAGAAAAGTATTACACAGATAGCATATGCGCTTAGAATTCAAAAATAATAACAAAGTAGAATATTTTTGATTTATTTGGAACAAAAATATTATTTACCTGTACACAATTTTAAAATAATATGAAACACATAAGGCTGGTATTATTATTTTTATCAACAAATATGAGAATTCTAGCCCTGAAGCTAGTAAGCACCTAATGTAGTAATATCTGGAACAGTATACGACGAGGCGTTTTATAAATCAAGAAAAGCTTTTGAACAGCAGTCCTCGAGATATTCAAAATTATAATGTATGTTAGTTGTTCTCGAGAAATTTCCAACGGTACTTTGGAACAAACGACCGTAGGATATATATACACAGAAGGGGGTGCAAGATAAGACCTGTACGACTAAGGTCGAATCGAAACTCCGACAGCTGAGCTAATTTACCGAAAGACGTTCGCATTTGCGGATAAAAGCCGAAAAGAATAAAATTTACCGGACTTCTGGTGCAGCAGCGTTGGCTTATCACAAGGATATTATCTTTTCTTCTTGGTAATTCGTTTTGCCGAATCACCGTCTGGCGAGGTGTGCGTTATGGAGAAACAGAGTCCAACGAAATATTATTATAAAGTCTTGCCATAAAAGGAGATTACCCGTAGAATATAATAACGTAATATTATCCAGGTTATAACATTATAGTTCCCGTTACGAAAATTCGACGAGTAACACCATCGTATTATTCGTTTTTTCGTTTTCCTAACGGTCGTGGACAGTGGTGTATTTTAGGGGAAACGATGGGAATGATCGCTCCTCCCCGTCAATTAATCTGTGTAGGTATTTGCTATATATAAGCCGGGTGAGATTGGAGACACCTGTATCCAGCACCACTCAAGGTTTTCTTGATTTTCTCGTGGTGCAAGAAGTTCATACAAATTACTTACTAAATATTGGCAAAGGAAAAGTACAAAAAATCTAATAGTTATAAGTTTATAATAGTTATAATAGTTATAATAGTTATAATAAGTTATAACAATATGAATCGGTTTGTTTTACTTATTTTTGTAAGAAATTTAAAAATCAAATGTTTTAGGCTTTGATTAAAGTCACGCCGTCCTATAAGACGTTGCTTCGCCTAATTGAAATCATTTTATCGAAATTTGTTTTTCTTGTCATTCACCCAATAATCATCTCACTCGTTTCACATTTTTCTTTACATGTTTCCATTAATTCCACCGCAACGGATTAAATTTTCTAGATAGCAAAAATGTATTTAATTTAAATTTATAAAATATTATTTTTATAAAATGTTTTATTTTTCCATATTTTTCATTTAAATAATATTTAGAAAATATTTATTAAATAACGAATTGCCGCGGGATTTTCGTTTATTAAATATTTTAAAAATTATATTTTTCAAATACTTTTTTTATCAATAAGAAAAAAACGGAATCTCGTTTTTTTCCACAGTTGAGGCCCTACCTAATTAAACCTAACGCTCTATCCACTACACTACCTACCTAATTATTAAGAAGTTTATTTTATGGCAATATAAATAAATTTCAAAATATTATAATATAGGAACCTAACCTAATAGTGACATCTCAAAATTGCGGACTTTTTGAGAACAGGAACATTAACTTCCTCTGAATAGTACACACCAGTGCTAGTGGGAAGGTGGAGGGGTGGTGGGGTGCGGCCTTTCTTTTTTTGTTTATTGCTTATTTCGGTGTATTTTATCGTTCAACAAAATACGGTAACTTATATAAAAAAGAAAAGTGCCCTCTCCCAACATAAAAAAAAAAAAATTGACTACGGCACTGTACAATATATTGTAATCACCAAATACAATAATAGAACAAATTTAATTTGACTGCCGCCTATACATTGAAAATTATATGTTTTTGGTTATTTTTATGTTGTTTTATGTGTGGAGATGATAAGTAAATCTCG